TATCTCCAGAAGCATCGATTTTTGATGATGAAAAGTTTGAGATAATGCGTAAAGTCATTTTAGACAATGCAGGAGAAATCATTTGATTTTTTCCCCTGAAATTATACCGGTTTTTTTCAACATTCTCGTGCATAATTCTCAAAATAGCCACTATGAACTTGAACTGTTTCACCATTTTACAGCCAAATTGATTTTTCTGCAATTATCTACATTAGAACTTTCATTCATACTTCATCTAAAAGGGAGCGGCACGAAAGCTGCAATTAAAAGCCTTTCCTTCAATAAATGATTATCAATAATTTGCAATAGTCCAGCACATTGCAAATCGCAATAGATTAAATTGCAAACTTTATCACCGTCATTCGTATTTTATTTATTTACTTTCTCGAGAAACTTCCCCGTTTGTTGAAATGGAACTTTGAAAAAAAAAAATACATTTATTCATCATTAAAATTTTTTTTTCATTTCCAGTATTGAAGTAGACGAGGTAATATATGAATCTTTTCTAAGAATTAAGTAATTGACTAATTTTTATCCATGTATTCAGTCAATCAGGTCAATCATATATTGAATTATGTCAATTCAATACATTCATAAAATTTTGCAACCATTTCAGAAATGAATTCTCCAACAACCATTGCATAACTCAATTCAGAAGACATTATTGTACTATATTCTCCTGAACAAATTACTTCAATTTATCATTCCATTATATTTAAAATGAAATTACGAGTGTTCATTTCATTCGCTCGCATAAAATTCAACTTATTCAAACTATTGCTGCAACTTGTTTCCCTCAAAGTTCTGAGATGAGAATATTCCTCTTTAATACGAACAGTTGTAAATTCCTCTATGAAGTACTTCTTAATTAACTTGGGGCGTTCAAATCACGATGCCATTCCTTTAATTAAATAGCAAACGAGAAAAGAAGACGTACGTGATTTATCCGGAGAACAGGACGTACGTTGTTTTGATATAATTTCAAAACAATGACTTTGTTACCAGGGCAGAAAGATTCATTCATTATATGTCCTCACTTCAATATTGAGTCCATGCTTCTCATCAATTTTTTAATGCACACAAAAGCATTTTTGTTACACGGAGAGAAATTTACCTGTAATTTACTAGACGTTTTTGAGGATACTACGGCATTTTGAGCACAAGAAAACCAACTTATCAATCTCCACTAACATTTGGAGGGTTTGTCGCTATCCACTAACACTGAAATACAGAGTTTCAACCCTCGATCACTCGCTCAATGAGCGCGGCGCCGCCCGTTTTCCTTTCATTTTTTCCATACTGACCTTTACTTTTCCTTCTCCGGAGATTGGTATTTGCCCAAACTCGTAAAAGTGAAAATCACTACGGAAAAATATCGTTGTCGACTAGTGCCATGGGGTTTTTTTTACTCGCGTGGAGTTGGCGTTCGAGCCGAAGGCGAGAACTGACCAACCACGCGAGTAAAAAAACCCATGGCAGTCGCCCTCAAATATACCATAGCGTGTTTCTCGATGCTTAAAAATTCTGAAAAAATTAGTATTTCTCGTTCAATCCTTTTATTAAGCATTGGCGTTGTCCGTTTTTTTCTCGGGAAATTTGTTTAGCTAAAAAAAGAAAAGAACCGTCGCGCGGACAGAAAAGGGGCGCCGTGCCGCCCGGTGCGAGTGAGTCCCTGTCGGCCCCTCGAGCGACAGTGTTGCTACATTCAGTGCCCCGCTTGGAAGGTGCGCATAGCGGTAAGTGCCAAGGTGGCAACAGCGCGCTCGGTTTAAGCCACCGGCGTTGCGCTAACCGTGCGACGAATGAAGGCTGGCGGCCGAGCGCGAGTGATCGAGGGTTAACGAAACGATGATTTATGCTCCGAGAGTAGAATGGACGTTATTTTTCTATTTTGCTTCCGAATGGAAGTATTGTATTCATTAAATCCGGAATTTCCAATGTTTTATGTCAATATCTCGTGTAGAAATTCAAGCGGGGATGCGGCTAAACCTCCGCTCATGCGCTCGAATCGATCGCTGAGCTCCGGCTTGACTGTATAGCAAACAGGAATTGAGCTGAGGGATTTCTACACGGGATAACTAATTTTGACCTTAGGAGTAAGAATATGTTATTTTTAGATCATATCCCTATCCTTGTATGCATGTATGTGTATGTGTGTATGCGACCGACTGTTTTTCGACGATAACTGAGAAAATAATTGTTTAAATGAATCCCATCCTGATTTAAAATATTCTTCCCAATGCCATCTTGACCGAGTTTCATCATGAGATTGATTGCATCATCTGTTGTTGAAAAAATTTATTTTGAAATCAGTATTCGGAGAAAGGCCAAAAATTTCAACGTTGGGGCAATATTGGCTGCCAGGATTGAGGCAATGTTGAATTAAATGAACCATTGAATTCAATTTAAAATACATTGTCATAGAAATTCCATTCGGAAGCAAATTGCTAATTTATTAGTTAAAATATATTAATTCTTTAATAGTAGTTGTTGTCAACCGTCTTAGTATAATTAAGGAAATGTTAATCAGTTTTGCGGTCACTGGAGAAACCAGGGAATCAAACCAAACTAATTTCTTACCATAAATAAGCCAACGTTTCGACCCATTCTGCGGGTCCTCTTCAGGGCTTGTTTATTTTACATGAGAGGAATTTAATTAACATCCATGCAAACAACATATCAGTAGGCGCAGTACAAACAATGATATTACAAGAAACAACAACACTATTGTTAAGAAACGAAAGACGAATAGAATAAAACAATGTCAATGAACTTCTGTGGGGGCAGAAAGAAGTCATTGTACACGAGTCCAGAAGGGCTCGTGTCTTCAAACGTCTGCCTACATCCCTAAAATGAACAAGCCCTGAAGAGGACCAGCAGAATGGGTTGAAACGTTGGCTTATTTGTGATAAGAAATTAGTTTGGTTTGATTCACTCCCTTCTCCAGTGACCGCAAGGCCGATTAACATGTATTTAATTATATTGACTCGGCTGTAACGAAACCAATTTCCCATTTGCATTTTTTGCGTTGATTGTGAATTCCCTATTTTTCCATTGCTTACTTTTGCTATTTTTACATTTTCTATTTTTTCCGGAAATTTTTAATTTTTTGGAAGAAAAGTCCAAGAATTCGGAAGACAACATAATCCTATTCTAAAGAGAACATACACTTAAAGTCGATCACTATTGATATCTCGCAAGTCTGTCACGCTTTTTCTTCATTGATTCCATTCGTCTGAGGCGACAAATTTAATTCATGATTAATTTAATTTTGAGATTTTCAATTGTGAGTGTTACAATTACAGCGCGCTGTAGCGCGCGTTTGGTCTCGTTTTCATAAATAGAAGATACATTTCGATACATTGATTTTAATTCGTTACCGGTACCCTGAAGTTACTCGCTACCCCACAGCACTTTATGTTACTGTCAATGTGAAATGTGTCTATGTGATTGCACACCGCGGTACTCATTCAACGCAGTAATTTTCTTCGGAGGTTTCTGAATACATACTATTGGCCCAGTAGAATCCTCGGTTGTGCGTTACGTGTAGATATGAGCAAGAATCTACATGTTAATTGTTGGTGTTTTTTGCACTCACGTTACTTCATCCCATTGATAAATCAACATCATTCCTTTTTCAATTTGGAGTATGGATAAAATAATTTTTTTTCAGATTTTTGACAAGTGTTTACATAAATTTTTCGGTGAATTGAATCGTAAAAATTTCAATCGTACCGGTGTATACCTGCCCAGGAGAGGATCACGTATGAAAAAATTCAATAGAAAAACTTAACGAAGTGGTTAGAAAATTCTACTGGGATTCTATTAAAATTCTAGGGAATTCTCGTTAAAATTCGATTTATTTTTCGTCTTGATTCTATGAGATATTTGATAGGAAAACGCCAATAGATTACGATTTTTCGATTCATATTTGAGGGGATAAGGAACTTCCGCAGTAAGTATATGGGAGTAGAAGGAAATGGACTGCAGAGCTGAAATTTTGAGAATATATTCTTTGAGTGATTACCGATATCCTCCCGAAGTCCCAAAACGCTGAACCACATAGATTGTTGAGGAAAAAATATGAAAAATGTGTCATTAACACAGAGTCTTATGGTACAACTTTTTCAAAAATCACAAAAAAATAATCGACAATGGAATAAAAATCTAAAAGCTTCACGAATAGAACCCTATATATTTCAGAAACATAGCCCCACAATTTCATTAACCGTCACCACAGGGATTATTTGTAATTATTGAAAATATATGGCATAGTTCGGGATTTTAGTTACGTTAGAGAAAACTGATGGCTGAACATGGCAACGTTGAGGGAGGCTAGAGTGCGCGCGGCGGAGGCCATCGTGTGAATTCCGTCAAGGCATATACTATAGATTCTATAGTGCCGTATAGGATTTTATCGGGACACAAGAATACCAACTGCATCGAACAAAAATGCGTGGTTGTCAAATCTCTCATGAAAATTTCTCTTTGTTAAAAAATTCGGATGAATAATATTTCAGAATAATAATAAATTGCAATTGATTATTCATGAATAAAATTTCAATAGACCCGTGAACTTTTCGTCATATCATTATTTTTTTTTCAAAAGGTGCCGGAGTGTCGAAACCTTTGGTAATTTTCCCCACTTCAGAGCCCCAAAATGTACTGCGGAAGTTCCTTAAAGAGGTATTCACAGAATGATGGCTACTAAATTGTCAAATAAAATCATGAAATATCAACCCACAATCAGCACTAAAAATCGGAAAGCCTTATGAAATAAGGTACCTCATACCATCGGCACATTAATCATTTTCCCGTTGAATTATGCATTTCCAGATAGAAATTGACATTGTCATTCAGTCAATATAGCATCGACGACTAAAACTGCATAGTAAATTCACAAGAAATTTCTCTCGGATTCTCCGGCAATACTCCAACAACTCTGGAAATGCTCCCATCCACTAGAGGGAGTCTAATGCAATCAGTTACATCAATCATACCTGGAGGTGGATTGCTGATGATATGGTTCAATGAGGGGCGCATCAGTATGGTCCTTTGATCCACTCTCTGAGCTGCTCTGCCTCTTCGACTCGAAATCAGTCTCACCAAATTTCTCCTCATCCTCACTCTTTCGCGGTAGAAATATATCTCTCTCTCTGTTCATCTCCATGCACTCATCATGACAGCCTGTTTGTTCGCAGTCCTGATGACTAGATGAAGCTAGGGGCAAATTGTCTGCACTACGAACCTTCCGACAGAGACGGGATGTTGAACCGTGACGTCGGAGGAATTCCTGGAAATGAAGTGGACACTTATATTAATGAGATCGGAGGTGGTATGGATACACCTGTAATTGAATTGTTCAAGTCCGTTTTATTACATTTTAAAGCGCATGATGAGAATCTGGTGAATTACACACATTCTAGGGCATTGCAATTCTCTTTCGTCATATTTTAAAAAGGAAAAAAACGGTGGAGAATGCATAAAGTAAATGAATATCCTCTTTCCCTCTGTTCGAAGTATACTGTTGGAAATTTTTCGATATTTCATGGAAAATATGGTACTAATTTTCATGAACACAACATTGAATGCAATTTAAGGGAAAAATGATTATGAAATTTCAAGTTTTAGGTAGAAGTCGAGCAAATTCATGAGTTTTCAGTGAAAATGAGACGGAAATTTCACAACTTGATTGAATTTTCAATGGAACATGAATATTCAGAAACAAAATCACATGAATTTTCAATTTTTCCCGGAATTTTCCTGATTTTTCTGAATTGTTACGGAATCATTAAACTGAAAAATCAAGTATTTTAGCGGTTTTCAGATCAGTCGAACAGAAAATTAATGAAATATTTCCTTTTTCAATAACAACATTTCTTGAAATTTCAGTAGAAATTAAACATGATATGTGTGACGTGTGGAGATATTCACACGTCGATTTTATTCAATTAATATTTTCTAGATAGAAAAAGTCCAAAATGCTCAATAAGCAGTCTCACGGTGACACCTGAGTCCAGCTTCTCAGAATGGAGCTGTTTGATTGTCTTAGCCATTGTCAGTGATGGACATATGGCCGTGTTAGTTAGAAAAACCGTGAGAACACTTATTTAGCATTTTCGGTCAGCAACGACTTTGAAGCTCTGGAATAGGGCAGAGTACGGCAGGAGTTGAAGATGGACGGACGTCCTCTCCTAGCCAAAAATCTATAGTAGATCCGCGTCGAAACCGAGCCCATTTAACAGTTGATTTTATACTTTACCTATCAATTATCTATTCAATATACTGTCAATGATTAATGTAACAGTAGTGCTCGATTGTTTTATACGAAGAATATCTAATCAAATCCTATCCTAGTCGCATCACGTTAGATCTTGAGAGAAATCCGCGTGAGCTCTGACCGTAGCTAGTTGAGCAATAGTTTTTGAGTCGACTGGTGACTCAATTAAGGGAGGTAGAAAACCTCTCACGTCACAATATGTGATGTCCAAAAATTCTAAATATTGAATTTCTTGTCATGTTCACCTCAAAATTATTATATCAAATTAATAAATCCAAATTGTGACAAAAGACAGAAAGTTCGAAGCAAAAACTGCAGTGCTTGCGATAAGAGTTTCTTCACACCGGTGAGTGAACTCTTCAATGCAAGTCTTCGTCACATACCGGACTATGAACCTTGCTTCGTGCGCTTACTCAAATTTCTGAATCAGCAGGTCGATCCCCTTAGAATAAAAAGTGGGAAAAATCACGCCATAATTTCCACTAACCAAAAACCGAGTTGTGAAACCCCCATAAGTCGAACAGCTCCTGAAACCCACAAAAATTGGCAGTCTAGAAACAACTCCGGATCTGTGAGTTACCTCGGTGAAAATCAATTACGGAATCGATCTGTCGCTCCAACCTCCCAAGTAATAATTCACATAGAGTCGATATTACGCGTGGTGACTATCGAATAATATTAAGATAGTGATCAGTTAGAAGTACACGGGAATAAACATTCTTTAATCGAAAGTAGTGATATTTCTTGCATTGTAAAAGGACTAATTCAATAGTTACGTGGCTGTGGACATTCTCAAAATAAAAAATTAACCAAGTATAATTTTATAAACTCGAGTGGATGAACGTGATTTAGTGAGAAGTAACCATAATAGTGTCAAGAGAGATTTTGAATACCGGTAGTGAAAGACTGCTAAATCAACCGAAGGATTCACCCCTACGGTCTATTTGGCGACCAACAAATAACAACTAATGAATATAGAACGAAATCCATAATCATCATACGTGAGTAATTGAAAACAACATCAAACATTGTATTCTCACACTTTCACCAATTTATAAAAGACTCTCCAAGGATAGAAATAATTAACTCAAATCAACCTTTTACTTTCAAACCAAAATCCAAATTAAATTATTTTCGTAACGTTGGTTTAAAATTTGAAACTATTCGATTGTATTTCACAAAAGAAAATCAAGAATATATTTTATTCCTTTTGAATATAAAATGCAATACGGAATCTTTTGATTATCAATCCTGTTCTATCCTTCATAATCCTTAATCCCTTTCACGAATTATTTATATCCATTCAATCAGGGTAAGAGAGAAAAAGAAACTTAGCGTTGTCTAATTAAATAAAAAGTAAAACGAAAATTCCCGATTCGAAATTTCAGTCAATAATCTTTACTACAAAAATTCTAGCCCTTGTTCACGGAATTTTAACCTATTTATTTAAAAGTTGCCCCCCGACGCTGATAACGTCTCCGGAAATAACAGATAAAAGTTTCCGAGATTGAACACGGAAAATTAAAATGAAAATTTTTAACAGTGTAAGATTGAAGAAGAAATCAATGAGATGAAATATTGTGTTTGAAAAAAATATTCCTTTTCTAGATTTGATTGAACAAGGATCTTGAGATCAGACGATCGTCCTTTGATTTGTTTTTACTTGTGAGCCGGTTGCATCCAGCTTAGTTTACTATCCAAATCCTCGGGTCGGATTATTTTCATTTAAATTAATATAGCTTAAAACCGACTGTAATGGTTAGGTGGGTGAGGTGTTGCTCCGGCGGACATCCAAGCTCAGCAGCGTTGAGCTGGGTTAGTACTTGGATGGATGACCGCTTAGGAACACCTCGCTCGCACAAAAATTACGGGCGGTAGGCATGGTGTAGCGGCCTAGTGTCTCCATCTAGTCAGTGTGACAGATGTATACATTAGAGCACTGCACAATCGGCTGGCTGTGCGACTGGGGTTTTACATGGTTTCCCGTGTAGTCCTAGCTCGAATGGGGCACAGCTAAGAGTAAGACGGCCATGATACCACAGATAACAATGAGAGGAAAAGTAAAGGAGGGGAGACAGGCTAGAGGAGGTGTTTCAAATCGGGAACTACTTCGATAAAACCAATGAAATAGAAAGAATAAGAAAATAAAAATAAAATATAGCTTAATTAACTAATCAGTAAGGCCAGAGACTTCATTTACGAAAACGGCTATTATCAGAACTTGGCTCCAAATAGGTGATTGAAGTGAGCGACAAGTAGGGTTGGGAAGAAATTGAAACATTGATGTTGGAATTTGTCATAATTCATTGATTGGAGGGTTATTTTGTTGATGGAGTGAGGAAAAGCGTTTGAACGTGAATTGGGTGTTTTGAAAAGGGTCAATGGGAGATCTCGGTGATTTCTGAGGGTTAACTTAGGAGAGCTATCGGGTTCTTTCAAAAGGGGATTAATGGAGGCCATGGTCGAGGGGAGATATTGGGGGTCAGTTCCCAGGACAGCCCTCAGGGTCTTTTAAGGGGAGATCTCGGGAGGTTTTTGGGGAGTATCTTTATAGTGGAGCTCCGGTGGTATTTTTAAGGGGGAAGGAGAGGGGGGTATGGTCAAGGGGAGATCGTGGAGGTTCTTTGGGGATAACTCGGCAGGGCAGTTCTCCGGGTCTTTAGAGG